GCCAGTACGGTAGCCTGGCAGCTAAAGTCCTCACCTTGCATGCACCGGGATCCCATATGGGCACCTGTTCTAAACCTTGTGGCCCCACTTCCCATCCAGCTCCCTGCTTGTGGCCTGGGAAAGCCTTGGAACCCTGCACCCACATGGGAGACCCGGAAGAGGCTCCGGCCTCCTGACTTCGGATGGGCAAAACTCTGACTATTGTGGCCATTTAGGGAGTGAGTCAGCCAACAGAAGATCTTCTTTTTGCTCCTCTCTGTATATCTGACTTTGCAATAAAAAAAAATCTATATAAACTTGAAATTCAAAATGTATTATCAACAACATATTGTGGATAAGTGAAATTGTCTAAAACAATAACAACAGCAGGAGCCTGCACTGAGGCACAATAGGGTCAATTCTGCCTGCAAGGCTGGTGTCCAATATGAGCACTGGTTCAAGTTCCAGCTGCCCCACTTCTTTTTTTTTCTTTTTTTTTTTTGTAAGATTTATTTATTTATTGGAAAGTCAGAGATATAGAGAGGAGGAGAGACAGAGAGGAAGATCTTCCATCCGATGATTCACTCCCCAAGTGACCACAATGACGGGTACTGCACCAATCCGAAGCCGGGAATCAGGAGCCTCTTCCGGGTCTTCCATATGGGTGCAGGGTCCCAAAGCCTTGGGCCGTCCTCAACTGCTTTCCCAGGCCACAGGCAGGGAGCTGGATGGGAAGTGGAGCTGCAGGGATTAGAACCGGAGCCCATATGGGATCATGGCGCATTCAAGGCGAGGACTTTAGCCGCTAGGCCACGCCGCCGGGCCCCCATAATAAATAAATCTTTAAAAAGAAAAGAAAAGAAAAGAAATTTGCTATTTCTTCTTGTTTCTGGGGAAGGGGAATGATGAAAAGGAAAGCCATACCCAACTTCCCAAATGTCACAGTACCCAGGGATGGAGAACTGCCACCCGATATTCACCCAGGGTTCTGGTGTGTGCATGTTCCAAGGGTTCTGCGCAAGTGGTTTGGATAGTTCTGAAATACTATTGGTTTCACCAATCCAAGGATGATGCAGCCCTCCCAGTGTCCATTGGCTGACACAGTCAGCCTCAAGTCTCCAGTCTCCATTCACCTTGATTTTGCTGTCATCGTTTGGATGGGGTAGTTGTCCAATTTGCCTAACATCATCTGTCCCCTGTTCCAACCCTGATAAATCTTAAACAAGCAAACAAAGCAACCAACTTGAGGTCTACAATTTTGTTGCCTTGCAGTTTGGGGCAAGTATTCATAGCTCCCTGAGCTGCAGCTTTGTTATCTGCAAATCAGGTAGGATTATTAAGGGTACAGAACCCCCTCAGAGCTGCTGAAAGGCCAAATGGAAATGTAAGTGTAAGATGCTTGGTCCGGAGCTGGCATATACATAACTGACAAATGCTAAGTACACCTACAAAGTATCAGATTATCTGGTGTTGATTATTAGTAGCTTTAATTACACGAGTGACCATTTCAAACCTTGTCACCCAAATCTGGGAGTTCATACCCTGGCTACAGCTGGATATTCCTTCTCTGGGTTCTCAGCCAGGTGGGGATGGTCAGGTGCTCATTTATACCTCCTAACTGCAACAAAATAGTGTCACTCTGGAAGAACTGGAAGGGGAGCAGTGAGCCTAGTCACAGTGAAGGCAGACAACTCCCGGGGTGCCATGCACCTAGGAAGGGAGGAAAATGGAGGATTCCCCAGGAGGGAGTGCAAGGAGATGAGAGGGAAGGGGGGGGGTGGTAGGCAGCCCCACGCCTGCAGCTGCCGCCCTGAGAACAAAGCAAAGCATGATGCAATCCTGGCCGGGTGCGGCTGAGGCTGCCAGACTCCAAAGGAGAGAGAAAAAGTGGGTGCCAGGGGCAGACATTCAGGGCCTGTGGACACCTGCCTCCACAGTCCTAGCCCAACTCAAGACTCCTTGTGGGGCTCCTGGCCTGTTCCCAAAGCCCCTCATCCACGCCAGACGCCTCCCCGAAAAGTCACAGACACAGGAACAGCAGGAGTCAGATATGATGCAACCAGGACAACACAGCTGCCTCCCAGGAGGGGTGGGACACAATGAGAGCACGGGGCTGTCTCAGAGGCCCCCACAGGGGCCTTCCCCAGCGGACCTTGAGGTGCAGGTCTCTGTCCCCATTCTGTTCCCATCCCAGAGATGAAAGGCCAGAATCCTCAGAAATCTCTGGAGAATGTAACCCGGGGCTTGCACCAAACAGCACATATTTGCAGAATTAAGCAGATGCTGAGCTGATCTGGGTCCCAGCATCTCTCAGGGCTGGGGGATGGGCAGGAAAGGAGGAGCACCCACCCTCCCCCAGTCACTAGGCCCTAGGGTGGGGAAAGTGGGTCTACTTTAACACCCTGCCTTGCTGGGAACCCCGTCCCCGCCCAAAAAAAGCCTCCTGTTCTCACTCCACCTGGAGGAACTGGAACAGGTGGGGCATGTGACATGGGCTACCATCCCCTAGTGGACCGGGCAGCAAACCAGGGCCATAGAAGTTAGGACTAGGGATCGCTGTTAGGGATGCATAAACCTAAAAGCCCACACCCCAGCCCACACCTGAGGGGTAGCCTGGATGCCTAGCCTGGAGCAGCCACTAGATGGCACAAAAAGCCCAAGGACGCAGGCAGCTCCACCCGCTCCCACTCAGCCCTAGTGCCTTACCTGGCTGGAAGGAAGTGGGCCTTCCTCCTGCCGCTCCTCTCAGCCCACCTCTGTCTATAGTCTGCAGTGACAGGGCTCTGGGACTTTCACACACCCTCCTTCTTTGTGGAGGCAAAAATCTCCTGGCCTTCTGCAAAATACTGTTAGTGCCCATGGCTGCCTCACTGGAGGCTGAACAGGGCAGACAGCTAGACTGAGCTACAAGTGGCTAGATAATATTCCCCAGACCATCCCTGGAAACCGGCCTTGAAGGGTGACCCAGGCATGGCAGTTGGAGAAGGTGACAGAGGGAATAGCCTGAGGAAAGGTGGCAAAGCAGGGATGTGGGCCAAGGACCCCAGCTTCCCATAGTAACCAGAACACAGCTCAGGTGGTGGAGACGGAAGAAGCCAGACGGGTGGGGGTGCGAGGGGGGAACTGAGACCTACTTCTCTGGCTTCAAAAGTTAGATCTTTAGCTAAGGAAGTGACATGAGCAGTGTGTTCATGTCAGAACTGGACTGAGGGACAGGAGGCAGGAAGCCTGCGAGGTAGAACTGCGACTGCCCAGGTGAAGCAAGGCGAGAGCCTGACACAGGGCACTGTCATACAGCAGGTGCCTAGGGACAGAGACCCAGCACCAGTGGCCATCAGCACAAAGAACATCACAAACTTCCCCAGGAAGCCCCGGGGAGGATGGAAGTGACCGCTCAGCCAGCTGGTGGCTACTCTGCAGTCCACAGGGCCCATGTGTCAGGTCCCTGTGTACAAGCCGCTCCTGCTGTGAGGGGCTACAGGGAACCCAGCAGGATGGATCACTTTTCCCACCCTCTCCTCTGTCAGGCACACGTGTGCACACACACACATAGAATAAGGGTGTGCATCAAGATACTCGTAGAGGTGAGGTGAAGTAGCCTTCAGCTAGAATGAAGCAAGTTGAAACTGGAGGCAGAGAACACAGGAAATGAAGTAGTTTTAGGCTTTGGGGGTGGAGGAAGGTGAGAGCGGGTAGTTTTATTTTTGGGACTTATGTTTCTGAAAGAATGCTTTTCTGCTATGAATAAGCTAGGTTGCTGAGCCACCCAAGGCATGCCGAGCTGGCACTCAAACATCCTGATAAGTCCAGTGAATCCTCATCTATTTGAATGTCAAAGTGAAATAATGGTAATTACGGTCTCTACTTTGAAAATCAGTGCACATGGGGCAACACCAGAATCCTGTACAAGTGTAGGACAGCCGCTCCAATTCTAACTGAACTCCCCACTAATGCACGTGGGAAGGCAGCAGAGAACAGCCCAAGTCAAGTACTGGGGTCCACTGGAAGAGCCAGGCCTCTTCAGCCTGGCCCAGCCTGGTCACTGTGACCATTTGGGGAGCAAACCAGCAGTGGAAGATCTCTGTCTCTCCTGTCACTCTTTCAAATGAGCACACACATGAATACTTCGGATTCACAGTGTTTGCAGGCCCAGGTACTGCTAGTAAAGCGCCTTTTCCACTGACACACCAGCCAACAGACACCCATTTCTAGAACTGATTCTGAGGTAGGTGTTTTCTTTTGGCGACCCTTACTCTTCTGTCCTTGGAGTACCTTGTCTTCCAGGAAGAGGAGTGAGTTAGTGCATCGGAGTAGCTACCAGAACACATGTCACTGCTTCCTTGTCACCCAGGTGCATGATCTGTGAGTGAGCAGACTGCAGCTGGCAGCCTGGCTGGACCTCCCGCCCAGTCCGGCTCCTGAGAAGGAAGTTTTTATCGCAGGGTGCTTCCCTCTGGGAAGAGAAAGACAATTTCTCATAATAGGTCAGTGAAATCCAGGGGCCCTCTGAGGGATACAGCGAGGGGGGCGCTTTGAGTGGCTCCAAGGACACACTGATGTTAGGAACGTACCCAGCCTTTCCTTGCCTGAGAGCAACTCAAGTGGGTGTGGGCTACAAAAGGCAGCAAAGAGATGCAGATAAACTGTAGGAGAAAACCTTGTCCACGATCCTCAGCTGGCCTAGAACAAGTAGAATAAAACAGGACCTGTCATTGGGGAGAGCCCCAGACCACTGCCCACCATGGCAAAGGCCATGGGCACCCAGCCCCCGAGCCCCCTGAACTCCCCTGCTCTTCCTGGGGAGAAGGCAGTGTTGTGTGACAGCCACCAGTCTCAGGAATTTCCAACATCTCTAATGCTGACAAGCCCAGAGCTGAGCAGACACTACTCTACAGGGGCGCCCCCTTCTCCAGGTGGGCAACTGACTCCAAGAGGGCAGTGAGGAGCCAACGAAGAAAGGAGGCAGATTAAAAAACAAAGAACAAAAACAAAAACCCCCACAAATAACATGAAATGATTTCTAAACATTTTTATTTCAAATCTCTTCACCCCTCCCCAAAAAGACATGGGTCGGTACAGCAATCATAAAAAGGAGATACAAACACCAGAGTCAAATGTCTCCCGCACTGACACTTACAAAAACCGGGAATTGTACACAAGGGTTCCAAACAGGACCTGCAGCAGCTACTAACGGCCCTTTATGAGTCAAACATGCCTATTAATACAGTATGTACAGACACCCCATTCTAGAACTAAGCTACAGGGACTTCCTAGCACCCATCCCCACAACCCCCAGAAAAATACCAAAACACACCCAAAGTGCATTTGTTTTGTTTATATCAAAACATCTTTCCCTTTCCCCACCCACCCACAGACCCTCCCGCCCCATTAAAGATTGGCCTGCAAGTCTATTTTAACCATTTAGTAATTTTTTATAGTTTATGAAAATAAATTATACAGCAACTATCTTAATAAATTAAGCACAAAAAAGGAGAGGGAAACCAAACGGGAAGACAAAAGCCAGGCCACACTTTGGCTTGGAGGAGGCAGGGTGGCCAAGAGGACAGAGGAGGCTGCAGGCAGGTGGGTGGGCTCCCCTCTGGTGAAGATCCCACTGCCCTGAGCCTAGAATGATAACCCCTCCACTCAGCTTCTTCAAAACAACCAAAATCGTACAGCAATGGCTGTGTAGTGGGCAGCACCGCTTCTGGCATCCCAGCAACTGGCCCCTAGGACAAGGATCTGCGACGAATGGCAAGGGGCAGGACCCTGCTGAAGGTCAGCATCAGAGGTGGGAAGTTGTCACGGCCACCCTGCTCCTGCAGAGCTGGTGGGGGCTGAGGATGTAGTGGTGTGCCGGGCTGAGTGGATTCTGGTGGAGGGTATCCAAGTCTTCCTCCATCTGCAGGGGTAACTTCGATCACAGTCTAGCTGCAACCAGACACACTCACCCACCCCAGCTGGCTGTTCTGTGCCCACTCCTGATGCCTCTTGGTACTGTGGAGGAGGAGGAAGGAGAGAAGGGAGACATTCTAGACACCTTCTAAAACTTGCTCAAGATGAAATGGGAGTGAAGGCATGTCATAAACTCAGCATGCAGGACTGGCTTCCTGGGAGGTAGATGGAGCGGGAAGGGCTAGGAGCAGGTGTAGAGAGGATAGGTGGGAAGACAGCAGGAAATGGGGAGACACCCACCAGGAAGGTCAGGAAGCAGTGAAAAGAACAAAGACATATGCAATCTGCACGTAAAGAAAGGTCTTTCTAGGGCAGATAAGAAAGTCAGCATTTTCAATACAACTCATGATTTTCTAACTGCAGGACGCAGTCCCCAGTGCCTGCTTCTAGGGTTCAACCCTCACCTCACTGCTCCCAAACTTGGCACTCCTTCTTCGCAAGGCCTCCTGTCTTTCTTGCTGCAAATGAAGGCTCCAGTGTCAAAACAGGGTATTTTGTGGGGACTTGCAGCCTTGACCTTTGTGGTCTAATAATCCTATAGCTATCATTCATAGTAGGTGGTGGGGTACACTTTCTTTTCTTTTTTTTTTTGCTCTTTTTCTTTTTTTTTTTTAATAAAAAAAAAAGTTTTTACTCCCCAGGAGCAAATAAATCATTTTGAACTACTGATAAACACTGCTGCAGTGAAAAGAAAGATGGCTACATGTATGCAATAGCACAAATTCAGTGTAAGAACAGCTGTGTTGACGGTCAGAGATAAAAATCACTTACCCATCCCCCCTTCCCACAAAACAAACCAAGAGGATTCCCATAGGGAAAATGTCTAACTCAAAAGCTCCTCCCTTACACACAGGGGGCATGGCATTCTCTTAAAAAGTGAAAAACAAATGTCAGGTCTCCCCGCCAATGGAGATGCTCTCAACACTCCAACTGGTGGCAAGACTTTTGCAAACGAACAAAGACACACACACACACACACACACACACACACACACACACACACACACACACACACACACACACCCTGACTTTCACATGTCTGCCCAACAGTCACAGAACTGTATCCCAGAGCCTAGTCCTTTAACTTCAGGGCTCAAAGCTAAGGGAGATGCCGCAGGGAAGGAAAGGATGCAACCCAACGAAAGAGTGCCTCCCTTTTTCACATCCCACTGGGCTGAGAGGACTTCAATCGGGCATGCTTCTGGGAGCCCAGTGTGAGGGCAGAGAGGGCTGGCACTCCAGGGTACTTCCGGGCCTATCCAGTCTCTCACAGCTGGATCTGGGAACTCTAACCATGCCCCCACCCCATCCTGCTCCAGTTTTTCCAGGATGTGCCCTGGAGGGTTATGTACAGCTATTTTCTTATTATTCCCAACCCCAACAAGGTGCCCCAGTGAAAAGGAGGGAAGAAGCAAGGAACAGGAACTATGGAGGCAAGCTTCCCACCAAGCCTTTTCTCTCAGAAGGCTGCCGCTGCCCCCACAGTTTCTATACTGTGGTGTCATATTCACTTTATCCAGGCAACCAGGCCAAGGTCAAGGCCCAAGGATGCCAACTCTATTAAGAGCCAGCTTCGCCTCCAGCACAGAACCTTCACCTCCAGTAAGAGCAGCCAGTAGCAGTAGCATTACTAGTACACACGTATTCACACCTGCCTCAAGAATGGTTACAGTGACCAGTCAGAGGTCCGTGAGAGCTACCCGTGCGGGCCGAGGGCACTGACACCACTTGTTCACAATTCAGAATTCATCAACATGTTCCTGGAAGTGACAGCCTTGTCCAGACTTATAAGCATGTGCCCCCTCTCCATACCGGATTTGTTGGCACACCCAGCAGGACAGCCGAGAGTGAAGGCCGAGAGTAGTCCCTGGCCCTGCTGCCCCCATTCCTGGCGCTCTGCTGATGCTCTGCCCACTACACCTCAGACAGCTGCCCTTTCTCCAGCCTGACCCAACTGGTTCCACACAAAGCCATCCACACAGGTACCCAACGGCCATGACCAATGGATACTGCCTCCTTTCATACAAGCCTGTTCTACAGCCCACTCCATGGACAAGGCTCAACACTCCTGCCTGGAAGAGGAACAAGAGATGGCAGGTGCTGAACTTGGCTCCTGCCTCAGCTGGCTGGTTCTGATCCGAGTGTACGAGTTGCACAGTAGAAACCCCAGAGCCACAGAGGTGCAGAGCTCTGCCTCCCTGCCTGGCAGAGGTGACAGAAGGGAGTCCCTGGTGATGAGCAGGAGCCTGGGGACCTCTGGCTTCAGGTTCCACCTCATCACCACAAATTTTTCACCTCCAGACCTGTCTGACACCCAGGAAGTTTCAGTCTAACCACTGCACCAAAAAAGAAGTCTTGAATGGTGTTGCCATAATAGGGGCGATGCACTGTGCAGTATGTCTCATGAACACATTGCGTCTCTCTAATCTCACCGTCCTGCCCTCACCAGCATCCCAAAGCTTGCACAGACCATCTGGTTCACCCTGATCTCATTTACTCTCAACAGAGGTCCTGGGTTCTGCACCACAGTGAGTTGTTCTACAAGTGCTTCATGCGTGGCACTTATCTGAAAACTCCCAGAGACCAGGCATCACGTCTTCTGCCTCTTACATCTTCCACTGTATCTAGTCCACAGCCAGGCAAGCACACGTTAAAAAATAATGCTAGCTTTATAGATAGCCAAAATTCCAGATAGTTGCACATCAGCCTTTTGAGGATCTCAATAGCTTCAGGCTCCAGGTAGCATTTTCTGTAAGAAGCTGAGTCATTTGTTTAATCCAGAGACAGAACTGGTGAGTTCAAAGAGGACTAATGAGATAGTCTCATTAAGCCAAATTGTGGAATTACAATGTTTCTTAGCTGGCAAACCACAGCGGAAGCCAAGGATAGAAAAGATGCTACAGGATAGATGCCAGGTGGCCAGCCACCTCTCAATAGTCAGCGAATGACATGAGGTGCCCAACACTCAGTTAGAAGAGGGAGACCAGCCAATTCGTGCAGGACCTCAGGCAGAGGCCAAGGCCTTCAGATGAGACAGATCTATAAACAGCCAAGACATGAGGGCCTCTACCCAGCCATCAGGAAACCACAAACCTGACAGGACTGTGCCGAGATAAGACAGATACAAACGTGGGAACCCAAGACAGTCTCACAGAAGTGTAAAAGACCCCACAGCCCACCGGTCACATCTCAACAGTATAGTTCTCCCCAGAGAGCAACGACCTCACACTTGTAACTGTATGCTCCAGCCATGGGCAGCTACAGAAACAAGTAGATGGCCAGAAAGTCCTGGTACTGTGGCCCCTCTCTGGCATGTCCACCTGAAAGAGCAGCAGCTATCACATCAGTTCTGACAGATTCCCCAATGAATGAAGGGAACAGGATGTGACACAGGAAGTCTGCATTCCTAACATGGACAAAAGCCTCCCTTGCTTCTTCGTCCCAGAACAACAGTGCTCAATCTAAAAACACGTAATACTCTCTTCCTCTGAATTTAGGAAGCTCGTGAAGGCCGACCTCAGCGCTTTCTCTAGGAAGAGCCCAACTACAGTACAATACCTTTGCTTCTCCCCTTTCTCTGCACTCCCTTTCGTGGCTGACAGAGGTGACACTGCCTCCCAGGCTGTGGTGCACTTTGCCACTAGGATTCTGGATGCATGTGCCATCAACCTCAGCAGCCCACAGCTGGAGCTCTGCATTGCTCAGGCGACACAGGAATGTTATCCTGACCAGAGTTAAGGGCAGTTATCCCAGAAGGGGCTGCTGATGAAGGAATAGGGTTAGCTTTAGATCAAACAGCTTAAGGAATTAAGTAAAACAACACCAATATAGCTTCCATGAGCAGTAATTCTGAAATTAGGTTCCTAAACCTTGTAGAAAAAGGACAAGGAGTCACTACTTTCCCCAGAGAAGACCATCTGTCAGTTTTTGTCCAATCATCCTTTCTTCACGACTGGTCACACTTTTTTCTCTCCTGCCGAAGCCACCTGTGGCAGAAGAGCAAATTGTCCTGCTTCCTCTCCATCTTCGAGGTCCCTGCAGAAGACTCAAGTCAGCCTCCAGCCGCAGCTGAATGGCTGCACCCTCTCCTCCCACCCCTTCTCTGGACCTGCTCACTCCTTACATCACCTCCGATTCAATGAGCACAAATCCCAGCTGCCTTTAAAGCGAATTTCCCATACTGAGAAATAAAAATATCAAAAGCAGAACTCATTTCTAGGAAAACAAAACAAAACAAACAAAACAACAACAACAAAAAAACACTCAGTACTGAACAGTGTTGAGACTTCTTCCAGTTTTGCAAGGAGCTCATCCAGTCCCAGGACACCACAGGGGTGGATGTGACAGTGGAGCCCCAACTCAAGTGACAGTGTGTGCTTCTTCCAAGCCCTAGGGCTGCAAAGGGAAACCAAGTCTATGCACAGAAAATCCCAGCCCTTCCTATTGCATTTTGCTTGTCCTTACTCTTCTTTTCATGTTAACTTCATCTGGTTCTTCAAAACTGGAGCTTGGCAACCAAAAACCTAAGTAAAAGGGGAGGGGGAAAACATTAGCACAGTTGAACAGCACAGGACCACGATGCAGTGAAAGAACAGTGAGCTGCTGGAGCTGGAGAAGCTGGCCCACAGTCCTGGAGCCCAGATGGGCAGATACAGCTACTGTGTGCTACCCACAATGGCGCAATGGCCTCATCAGGGAGTTCTGCCCCGTCTACAACTTGGAGGACAGATTCAGGTCCTAAAGAAACACAAATGGACCCTACCACATTGCCTAAACTGCCTTACCTTGGCCTCTTTTCTACCAACTTCCTCCCAAGACCCACCTACTAAAGAGGGACTAAGAGGAGACTAATTCCTGAATTAATCCCTGTGAGCCCAGCCCTAGGTGCCGGCAACTTCCTTCAGAGCACTGAAGACTACAAAGGATCACAACAGCCAGTGCAGCTCCCCCTTGTGACCTGAGACAGCACTGCTCTGTGCCCTAACCCCAGCTTCCTGGCATGACAGCTCCCAGATCCAGCAGGCCAGGAACAACTCCTAAATTACACCGGCCTGACCAACAGGAAGTCACAAAGGCACTCCACTTGGGAAGTGTGACATTTCTCTTCTTAAGGGGCTCCAGGGTCCCCACCTGGAGCAAGAAGAGCATTATGCTTGTTCTTTGCCACAGCCAACAATCCTAAATCACAGCACAAAGGGACCCTTGGTGAGGTCTGTCCAAATCTTTGCCAGTAAAGGACTGCAGCCAACACACATGACAGGTTGTAAGCCTCTGGCCCGCATCTGACCACACTGCACCCCTGCCCTTTGCAGCCTGGGCCTGGTGTTTCTCAGTCCTCTTTCCCAGAATGTTCTGCCCCCAAGATCCTCCTGTGGTTGTGTTCTTATAACATCTCAGCTGAAATGTCACCTCTATCTACCCTTGAGCAATACCAATTCACTCATCATTAAATTTCAGTTTTATTTTATTTTCCATCAACACATACAGCTACCTGGAATTCACCTTCCCATGTTTTTATGCACTGGCAGTATTTCTTCTCAACAAAGAAATCATCACTAGTGAGAACAGGCCTCTGACTGTCTCACTTGGTACTCGGTTCCCAACTCACGCTGGTACTCAACCAACAAATTTACTGAATGAAAACTCTTGAGGAAAACTGGATTATTTTAGGGATTCTCCTTTTAAAATGTTCGTCTGGAGGGTGGGCTCGTTTTCAAGCACAGCTAACACAGATCTGCTCAAACACAAGGGTCCTGTTGACCGCACATCAGTCAGCAGGGCAGACGGACCTGCCTGCTTCCCTCCCCTCTAGCTTCCCACTCTAACCTCAACTGCCAAGCCAGAACGCAGAGAACTGTTCCCAGACAGGAAGATGTTTTAGGTGCCACTTTCAGACCCAGGATTTGCATAGTTGGTGGCATACTCGAGCCTGGACATGCAGTCCAGAATCCTTAAAATTAAAAATAAAATTCCACAGTCTCACAGTGTCACTTTATAGCCACTCGCCTTCATTCCTCTTCCTTCATCACTCCTTATCAGCTTGGCTCACACACCTTCCCTAACAGCATAGATCAGGGGCTTCCAGAGCCCAGAAGACAGTCACGGCCAGGCTCAGCTGAGCCATGGGACACGGACTGCAGCTGTCACTCTCTCCCACTGGGAAGACGGCAGGCAGGCGGAAGGCATCAAAGCCTCCTCTTCACCGTAAGGTCGCTGGTGCCACGGGATTTTTCCTCGTGTTTTGTGTGGCGATAGGGCTGAGGAAGAGAGGCCAGAGGAGAAGCAGCCTTCAGGGCTTAAAAACACCACCAGACTGACAGGGGAGAGGGGGCCAGTTCACAGGGCTATGGCCACCGGAGTACAAGTTCTCACTGGCAGCCAGCACCACCAAGTCATGGCTCATTGTAACCATGTTTCCCGTTTGCCTTGACCTTTCAACCTTCAATTCAACACAACTGGAAAGACCCCTGGACCCTGCCACACTAACTTGTACTCCAGGACATTTTATGGAAAAATAAATGAGTACAACACAGTGCAGAACTTAGCTGATTTATTCTCCTGAACAATTTACTTTGTCCTGGCCAAAAGGGAACTCTAAAGAGAAAAAAAGAGGCTGTTTTCCTCATCCTCTCATTTTAAGTTCTCATGGTGGAGCAGGCACTGAGGTGCATGCCTACTGCCTCACAGATAGGTTCAATTCCCTCTGGTGAGATTTTCTTCTCCTCTGGTTTCCCTCTTGCTATTTCGTTTGTGCAATACGAGGGAGATCAGCCAAAGGAAGCATATGAGGAGGCTGCACCTGGCTGTGTGCATGTCCTCCTGCCTATTTACAGTAATTAGCCTGCACACTGCTTGGCAAATATTCTATCTTTCATGTCTGTCTGCTTTATTTCCAAGTAGGGCATGGACTCCACTACCAGATTTGGCAATTCTGTGGGCAGCTATCTGAGTGAAGGGGTGTCCACAGGGGAACATGAGGCAAAGCACATACCCTCAGTGGTGGCCAGGAGAGACCCCTTGCTACGTGGAGGGCTCCACCTCCTGTTTCTGTTTGGAAATGAGCTGCGCTTCCTTTAGCGACAGGTACACCTCCTCCTGAGGATCGTAGTAGTAGAACTTCCGGATGTAAGAGATCAGAGGTCTGCAGAAGACAAACGAGGGAGACACACAAGGTTATTTACACTATGCACAGAGGAAATCATTCCTTCATTTAGCCCTTCTTTTTGCCCTATATGGCTTAGACTATAGCAGAGACCGCTTAACTAATAAAATGCCCACTTTCTCACTTGTTCTAGTTCTGTCTCCCTCCCTCTTACCACTTGGTCTGCACTCTCTGTGGAGATCACAGAAGGCAGGCTAATGCACACACACCTTCCTCCCTTCTGGCTGCAATGTGACAGTGCTAGAGCTAGGTGCTAAGACACAGAAGTGAAAGAAGTGAAAGGAGCATGCCAGGCTCTGCCTGAGGGAGCAGCTTGCAAGTCTCACTGACATTTGGAGCCCACCCCCCTTCCAGCCCCAACCCAGCGACCCCCTTGTACTTAGGCAGTGGGAGATCCGGAATGTGGTCTATCCGGACAAGCTGTCGGATCCGGAATCTACAAAGGTGTTGGAGGGATTTGACATTGCTGAATCGGGACACTGGATAGAGCAGCTGGACTGGAGTTGGTGGCAATCCTTCAGGAATAAAAACAAAGGGACATATTCAGAGGGACTGTAACTTCCCTTAGCAAAAGAATCAGAAGTAGAAAAGATGCCTCTTTATAGCTTATGCATATGCTCTGTGCAAAAACCTTCCACAAAGGGCTGTTGCTTCCCAAAGTACCACTGCTGGGGACAGTGTGGCAGCACAGTGCTAAGCCACTGCCTACAGCACCACAGCGCTCCAGGCTGTCCCAGCTGATCTGCTTCCAAAGTCGCTCCCTACTAATGAATGCTCCTTGGAGAGCAGCAAACGACGGTCCAAGTACTTGGGCTTCTGCCACTCATGTGGGAGACCAGGACAGAGTTCTTGGTTCCTATGGGAAGTGAATCAGAGAATGAAAAATCTGTTTCTGTCATTATTTAAAAAAATTTTTTTAAAAAGCACTACTACCATGTACCAAACTCAAAGGACTCTATTCTGCCCTGTGGAGGGCCTGCCTTGCATCACTCTTTAAAAAAAGATTTATTTATTTTTATTGCAAAGTCAGATATACAGAGAAGAAAAGAGACAGAGAGGAAAGTCTTCACTCCCAAAGTGACCGTAACAGCTGGAGCTGAGCTGATCCGAAGCCAGGAGCCAGGAGCTTCTTCCAGGTCTCCCACGTGGGTGCAGGGTCTTAAAGTTATGGGCCATCCTCGACTGCTTTCCTAGGCCACAAGCAGAGAGCTGGATGGGAAGCGGGGCTGCTCGGATTAGAACCAGTGCCCCATATGGGATGCCGGCACATTCAAGGTGAGGACTTTAACCACTACGCTATTGTGCTGGTCCCCACCTAGCATCACTCTTAACAGCTGAGGCTTGCTCCTTAGAATAGCTCAATGACTAGTGCCAAGGTAGAGATTTCTGCCTCGTGCTAAGTGGTCAATCCCAGGCATGAGGCTCTCAGAGAAGGGCAAGAATCAAAAGCATTCCTGTTGGGAATATGAGATGCATCTCTAGCAGGACCCCAACAGTGAGGCCTCAGAAAGACTGCTCTGCTCCAAGGGGAAGGGGACTGCATTACTATTGCAAAGGTTTTTTAAGTGAAATAATGAAGTAACATCTGGCCACGCAGGGGCCTTCAGCTACCATTGTTCCAAAGTCTGAATAAACAGACTCCTTTCAGAATCTGTTAAGTTCGGGGGAAAAAAAAAGGAAAGAAAAGAAACAGAATCTGTTAAATTCGAATCCCTGTCTACTTCTTCCTCACCCCAATCTTCTAGTAAGGTCAAGCTCAGATAACACCTAGACATTTGCGGTAAGCAAGAGCCACAAACAATGACTTTGCCTTTTCTGTCCCAATCCTTCAAAGACAGGTCATTTTAGGTCCAGGGGAAAACAGTAATGAATACTAAAATCTGCTTTGCCTTCTCAACTTGATTCCAATTTTAACTACAAATACACATATCCTACTGTGGCATTCACCTTAATTCCTAGAAAGATAACTCCCACTAATAAGTAAGTTGATCTTCGGAATGTGGTTTCTACAAAGGCCAGCAAATCAACTGTTGATTTGATTACTGCTTTCTTTTCTCACAACAAAATGGTAGCAAATAAAGCACAAGTTTTGCGTTATCTGAACACAAGTTCGAGTCCTGCCGTTAGCATCTAATCAATCAGTTGTTACCTTCAGGTTAAATAATAATCTTTAAGCCTCAGTTCTCTCACTAGTAAGATGAAAATGTTTTTTTCCTTTTTTAAAACAAGATTCATTTATTTGAAAGACAAAGTAACAGAGAGACGGAGAAACAGAGATCTTCCATTAGCAGATTCACTATCCAAAATTGTGCCAACTCAGCCAGGACTGGGTCACACTGAAACCAGGAGCCAGGAATTCCATTCTTGGTCTCCCCAGTAATAGCAGGGGCCCAATTCCTTGGGTTACCTTCCACCGCTTTCTCAGGTGCATCAGCAAGGAGCTAGATCAGAAGTGGAACATCCAGGCCTCAAACCTGAGCTCTGATAGCAAATCCTGGTATCACAACTGGAGGTTCAATGCACTGCATCACATACCAGCCCTGCACCAATGCTAAACAGATTGATCTGCTATCCAACTTTGAGTTGCTTTGAGAAATTAGCGATTATTTTTTAAAATATGTATTTATTTTTATTGGAAAGGCAGATTTACAGAGAGAAGGAGATACAGAAAAGATATTTTATCCACTGGTTCACTTCCTCCGTGGCCGCAAAAGTCAGAACTAAGCTGATCCAAAGCCAGGAGCCAGTAGCTTCTTTAGGTCTCCCACACGCGTGCAGCCTCCCAAGGCTTTGGGCCGTCCTTGACTACTTTCCCAGGCTACAAGTAGGAAGCTGGATGGGAAGTGAAGCTGCCAGAATTAGAACTGACACCTATCTGGGATCCCAGCACATGCAAGGTAAGGTCTTTAGCTGCTAGGCTACCACTTTAGGCCCCAAAACTAGAATTTTTTTTTTAAAAGGTCCTCGAGGCAGGCATTTGGGACTAGGATGCTATATGTACTTCTGTTTGGTACACAGTACCAGCTCCTGACTCCAGCTTCAACTAAGGTAGACCCAGGAAGGCAACGCTGTGAAAGCTCAGGTAACTGGATTCCTGACTCCTGCAAGGGAGACTCAGGCTGAGCTCTGGTTCCCAGTCATGTCCCCTCAACCACCCCAACACCCCAAGGCCATTGTGGACACCTGGAGAGTAAATCTACTGAGATGGATGGGAGCTCTTTCTCTCTACTTCTCTAATTAGTTAATGAGGAGACAAGAGGGGAGGAGAGGGAAGGAAGGGGAGAGGAAGAGAGAACGTGGAGAAGAGGGGAGGGGAGTTGACAATTGTAAGGCAAACACTAAATGAAGTGAGAAGTCATACAGTTCACACCCTGTCATGCCTTATTCAAATCACTATGATTCTAAAACACATTGCTGTCACCTGCCTCCACCCTGTTCCTGATGCTCTGCCTGAGGCTTCCCTGCAACTCCTACTTACTTGGTAGGGTACCTTGGCTCCCTATTTAAGAATCTTAATTCTGATTCAAAGGGAAGCATGAAATTCTCATTTTGTTCTGTTTGTTCCCAAGAAATCCTTTACATTAATGTGTTGTCATTTTGCTTTATTCAATGACATGAAAGCAGACTCCTACAACTCTCCCCCTCCTTGAGTGCCCAGGAAGGCCGGCTGATGTCACCAGCAAGAATTGCTACAGCCCAGAGCTCCCACAAGGAGCTGTACACACGAAAAAAAATTTTGACAGGAGGTGTAGCACAACACGGGAAAAGCCATGGCAGATACTTCCTCACAGAGACAGCAGTTCCACTCAGCTTCCTTGACACTCAACACTGCCTTTCAGGCGAATACTCTTATCTCTCCTGTTCCCAAGGAGATGACCTGAGAGCTCTCACATCCGTGTCTCACACTTCAATGTTCTGTCTGGGTCAGTGCCATTCCAGAACACCTGAGTGGCAAAGGTTAACTTAATCCCATCAAAACAGGAGCAGGCCCAGTACCATAGCCTGATGACTAAAATCCTGACCTTGCATACGCCCGAATCCTGGTTATTCCACTTCCCATCCAGCTCCCTGCTTGTGGCCTGGGAAAGCAGTCGAGGACAGCCCAAAGCCTTAGGACCCTGCACCCACGTGGGAGACCTGGAAGAAGCTCCTGGCTTGCTTGGCTTCAGCCGTTGCAGCCACTTGGGGAGCAAACCAGCAGATGTAAGACCTTTCTCTCTGTAAATCTGACCTTTCAATAAATAAATAAATAAATAAATAAACATTAAAACAAAACAAAACCAGGAGCAGAACATACTTGTCCTTAACATGGTGAGGACTACCCCTACATTGTAGGCAGAATAGTTGCTTTAACAGCCAAGAAGAAAAAAGTGTGGCCTAGGAGGAAGTCAAGTATTCTACTTCCCTGGGTCACACCTAAGTTAAATATTTCATGCAACTACAGCCTTACCTGGAACTCTGGATCTCAGGAAATAGAGAAATTTCCCATTCTTGGAGTGCATGATGGCTCTCTTAATGAACTCCACAACTGACTGACAGCGATCTTCAAACTTGGGATGACACCACAGGCTGAAAGTTCCTGCCACAGAAGATTAAGAAACAGAAAGTTTAAACTTGAGAAAGACACTTGACACTGGCCTGAACATTTTAACAATGATTCCCGTTTTCAGGAGGGCAGTTTGTAGCAAGGCATCCAGAAGCCACTTATTCCTGCTTATTCCACAACTAATAAGAAAATAATACTTTCATTAAGACTTAAATTAGAGGCCTAGCACAATAACCTAAGTCCTCACCTTGCGTGCCTGGGATCCCATATGGGCACTGGTTTGTGTCTCAGATGCTCTACTTCCCTCCCAGCTCCCTGCTTTTGGCCTGCGAAAGTAGTGTCTACTTCTCTCTGTAAACCTGACTTTGCAACCACAACAAAAAAATATTTTTTTTAAGATTTATTTATTTTTTTATTACAAAGTCAGATATACAGAGAGAAGGAGAGAGAGAAATATCTTTCATCTGATGATTCACTCCCCAAGTGACCGCAATGGCCAATGCTACGCCAATGCAGAGCCAGGAGCCTCTTCCGGGTCTCCCACACGGCTGCAGGGTCCCAAGGCTTTGGGCCGTCCTTGACTGCTTTCCCAGGCCACAAGCAGGGAGTTGGATGGGAAGTGGAACAGTCAGGACATGAAATGGTGCCATATGGGATCCCAGTGGCTGCAAGACGAGGATGTAGCCAGTGAGCCATTGCACCAGGCCCCCCCATTCTTTTTTTTTTTTTTCAGGCCTCCTTATTCTTCTAGTGACTGAAAACAAGACCTATTATCAATGTTCAATCGACTCTATGAGATTTTTCCCATTTGCTATAATTCTATTCCCATACATCCTTTTGACGAAGATGTCAGAAAGCAAAGACAGAGAACCCGGACAGGCACATAGGCACCTCACAGGCCAGCATTCTTACCTCTGTAGTGCTCCATCCTAGTGTGGTGGGTGACGCCCTGGGACCGGAAGCTGAGGCTTAGGATGTAGCGAGGGTCAGAACTGTCTCGTACCAGGAAGGAACCATCTGGCTTTCCTTTCAGCTTCATCTCTGCATCTTCCCAGTTCATGGGCCCCCAGTACCAACCACACTACCAAAAATAAGAGGTAGCCAAGTATTAACAGAAAAAGGAGATAGCTTTCAGCACAATCTATCTTACTAGGAAGCACCCATCACCGCCAGTCTCCAAAGCATTTCAAGAGGTCAAATCCACTACAAGTATCTAAACCATTAGCAATGAACATCACACTCATTAAACTTTTTAATTCCCTAAAGTATTAGGAGAGTAATTCACAATTATATTACCAAGGGCCCAGCCAAGGAGAGAGGAGGGAACTGGGTCAGTTAATCTGTCAAAACCAGGCTAGGCTATGTCAACACTTCTCCACATCCTTCCTTTTTCATGTCCTACATCTACCCCTCAATTCAATTCTGCCCTTTCTCTTATGGAGTCACTACACTGTGTTGGCACTGTCAACAGGGTGGCAGAAAACTCCCCTTCTTCCAGACAGCCTGGGCAGGGCAGTGGGGAGTGGGAGGGGGTAGGCTGTGAGTCTAGCACCGCCTACCTTCTCTAGCTCTCGAAGGCTGGCTGCAAAGCTGCTCGAGTCAGGCCGGTAGAGGGGACAATGGAGGTGCTGGGGGGGCTGGCTGTGCAGGGATTCAGCTGCTCGGATGGGAGCAACCCGGGGAAACGCATCTGCAGAGTGAGAGTGGTGGTCACTGTTTATCCAAACTATTCCCAACAACAAGCAGACCCTCCCCGCCAAAAGAAATGCTAACTGAAGAGGGACAAAGCATTAGAAGCTAAGCTGGAAAGGGTGGAAGCCAAAGCAGTGGGAAAGAGCTGGATGGGCTGGAACAGAAAGCTGTGTGGGCTTGTGTAAGCTGTGAAGGATGGGTGGGGGCACTGCACCCCAGGAATGGAGTGGGGAGCTGCTCACTAACCTGACTAAGGTGACTACTTCAGGGGCTTCACCAGCCTAGAGCGATTCCAACTTCTCCCACCTCGAAGTGAAGTGCCGATAAAGCAGCCTTGGAAATAGCGATTCTCTTACTTGCCCAGGAAGTGTAAGGATTTTGCCAGGCAAGTAAAAAAGAATGTCGATTTCATTCATTTCATTCCTTGGGTACTGGAGGCTGGCAAAGCAGGTGTGGGCTAATAAATGCTTGGTACTTATTTATAAGGCTGCAGTAAATACTAAAAGCTTAGAAAAACCACAGAACTTTGAAAATCAGCAACATATTAAATCTTCACTAACCTAAACTAAGGTTATTTCTTAAATGATATCTACCCAAGGATTGCAAACTAGTCAACAGCAAAGAAATGAAAAATTCAAATCTTTTGTCCCTAATGTAACTCAGATTCACATTCATTAAAAAAAAAAAAAAAAAAAAAAAAAAAGGAAGAAGAAGAAAGGGAGATTTAGAAACACCAGTTCTCAGCCTATTTCCAAGAAGTTCTGGTCCAGCCAAGGGGAAAATATTTAAGCTTTCTCCTATATTGTTCTTTCCATGAAAAGATTTCTCCCATCCTTCAACTCTTACAAGTCTTGCTGCTAAACTAAGCTAACCTGGGGCATGGGGTGGAGGAGGCGGAGGTAGGGGGAAAGACTGCAAGGAAGACCCCATCGGAGCCACAAGGACAGACGTAGGCAGCGTCCCACTGATATCATCTAGAAGAGAGAACAAAAGCAAGAGGTTCAGAAATCCGAGCACAGAATGGGTGAGGTGAAGGCAGGAGAGGGAGAAAGACTGTAAGGCTATGCTCTGGGGCCTGCCCATACCCTCACCCCCACCTTCTGGGGTAACAACCATCTCCCTCTCCTCAGCTCTGCTTAGAAAGCAGAAGAGGAAGAATGAATATTCCTAATGCAGCCCGAGCAGTGGACTGAGGCCAGCTAAGTGTCAGTCTAGTATCTGGGCAATAACTATCACAGCATGCAGGTAACCACCCATCTCACTGCTAAGGGAGATGGCAGGGGTGCTGAGAAAGGAACCGGAAATAACTGTGTCATCATTCAAAACCATTCAGTTTGTTTAACTTCCTGGCAAAAAGTAAGTCTCCAGAGCTCCCCCTCCCTCTAAAACAAGAAGGCACACAGAGGAGGGGATTGTACCTAGGAGGCTGAGGCTTCTTCTTGGAGGAGGAGGGGGAGTTGGAGGGTGAGGAGAAGTCAAGCCCCGCTGAGAAATGTCCACGTCCACAAGCGACACCGTTTCACCTGAGGGATTCATGGAGCAAGCATGTTACAGAGGCACCTTGCCCATGCTAAGGCCAGAAGCACAAAGAGCTAGCAGGGAAGCAAAAGGGTAGTGGCTCTCAAGAAGCTCAAAACCAAATGCTCCCCAGGGCTGAAATCATCCCGAACACAAATTTAGAATTCTACCACTGCTCTGCCTTTTTACAGATCCAGTGTTCTTGATGACAAAAACATGGTAAGAACGGTGGCAAAGTCATCTAATTAATGCTGGTTCTGCCACTGGCACAGATCATAACCTTCTTTATCAAGTGGAAATATCTGTAAAATATCCAGTATTTCACAGACATGTGTATTAATTTCTGCCTTGGGGAGCAAGGCAAGTGGCTTGTTAGGCAAGACACAAAAAACCAGATGCCTGAAAAATGTAAGAATTGCATGTTAAGCTGGGTGCAGATACAGGTCCCATAGCAGCCCTAATTCTTCCTGGTTGGCTTTCTGGAGTACTCACCCATCTGCTCCTGACTGCTGCTGCTACTACTATGGCTAAAAATCTACTTACAGGCCTAAAACTCAACTACTTCCACAGTTAGCTAAAAGCCAGGTGAGCTGTTTTTTCAGTCTAGGTAGGGATGCCACTGATCTCTCCTACTTTGCAATAGGTAATCCAGTACTTTCTCTACCATATCTATTATTTCTTGCCATGTGATCCCTTCCTCTCCATTTGAGTCACTAGAAAATGAAGTGTATTTCTTTAAAAAAAAATTATTTGAAAAGCAGAGTTGCAGAGGCAGAAACAGAGAAAGCATAAACTTCCACCCACTGACTCATTCCTCAAATGGCTGGCCAGACTGGAGTTCAAATTAGGTCTCCCACACGAATGAAGGGGCCCTAGCACTCGGGCCATCCTTCGCTATCTTAACAGGCACATCAGCAGGGAGTTGGATCTGGAATTGAGCAGCCAGGACTTGAACCAATACAGCTTGTCCAAACCACTGTACCACAATGCCAGCCCATCAAGTGTATTTCATTAGCACAGGTTGACAGCCATGAGTAGGTTCGCTTGGCCAGTCTGATCCACAGGTCAAAACACAGGATTCCTCTAATTTACCTCTCAAAGCATAATTTCCAACACCCTTTCCATTTCAGGGCTGAATTATCCCCTTAGCAGTATTTTAGTAATTCTCACTTAAGAAAATGAGGTAACCAGAATCTCTGAAAGTCCAAGAGCTGGGTATCCAGAACCCATATACACAGCTTCTCTTATAAAGGTCTGGAACACCAAGATAAGCAGACTCTTCTCAATGTCATTAATGAAATTCTAAGATTGCACAACTTGGAATCTAACAGCCTTGCTAACCAGAACAATGCAATGGGCCCAGCACAGGTGTGCTCTCAGACATGTCAGACATGTAGACTGTAGATACAGCCTTCAAATAAAGGAAGTGACTCAAGGGAGCTAAAAACTGCCTTGAATCAGAAATTACAAAAGTGGGTGTTCCTTACTTAAGAACAAAGTCATAATTAAATAGACAGACATGCTGCCAACAGGGTAAGATTCAGTCCTGCACTTAGAGTAAAACCAGACCCCGCTGCACTCACACCACCTTCTTCACTAGATATCTGTTTAGGTACCATGATCTGACAGTTCACAGCAGTCCACACAACCAGGGGGAGCAGGTCCCACTGGCCTGCTTAATGTCTTCCCAAATGTCCATTTCCAAATCACAGTTCTTTTATCACCTTTTGGAGGATCCTAACAGGCAAAGGAATGTTACTCTGAAATTTCTTTTTTGAAGATTTACTTATTTGAAAGGCAGAGTGATAGAGAAGAGAGGGTGAGACAGATCTTCCATCCCCCCATTTTCCCCAAATGGCCACAAAAGTCCAGAGCTAGGCCAAGTCAAAGCCACAGACTCCATTCTGGCGTCCCACATGCGTGGCAGAGATAGAAGCCCTTGGGCCATCACACACTGCTTTCTCAAGAGCATTACTAGAAAGTTGGATGGAAAGGGGAGCAGACAGGACTGGAAGTGGCTTTCTTTTTTTTTTTTTTCTTTTTTTTTTTTTTTAAAGATTTATTTTTATTATTTTCTCATTGGAAAGGCGGATATACAGAGAGGAGAGACAGAGAGGAAGATCTTCCGTCCGATGATTCACTCCCCAAGTGAGCGCAACGGGCCGATACTATGCCGATCCGAAGCCAGGAGCCTCTTCCGGGTCTCCCACGCAGGTGCAGGGTCCCAAAGCCTTGGGCCGTCCTCGACTGCTTTCCCGGGCCACAGGCAGGGAGCTGGAAGGGAAGCGGGGCTGCCGGGATTAGAACCGGCGCCCATATGGGATCCCGGGCGTGCTAGGCGAGGACCTTAACCACTTGCGCCACCGCGCCGGGCCTGGAAGTGGCTTTCTAAAAAGGAATTCCATGTTCCTAGCAGCAGCTTAATTCACTGTGTCACAACACTGGTCCCAAGTTTGAGGTTTTTATAAAGCCTTCTCATTCACAAACTCCAAGTACTCAGTCTGAGACTAAGGAAGTATGGTGAAACCTTTCTTTTCCATAGCTTATGCAAGTGTAAGCTCCACATCTGACTGACATGCAGCTCTCCCTCCAACTAAGTTCTATTAAAGAAATAAGGCAGTTACCCATTCCCTTCCTAACAGCCTTCTTACTGTACCAACTATGCTCTCTGCTGCAAGAGCAGAGACTGAAATTAGATACAATAAAGAACTCTAACAGCTGCAAGAATTGTTGGCTCCTAAAATGAGTAAGAGAAGAGTTCATGTAATCTCTCTGCCCAAAGTCTTTAAAAATAGACCAGATAATCACAGATCACTTTTATTAGTTAGCACACAACCTCCCTTGGAAGCAGGGACAGGAACTGCATGACATCTATAGTCTTTTATGCACTGTGAGCCTATAATTCCTACTTTTAATGTATGTACGATGATCATCAACTGACTACTGCATAACTGTTAGGGTCACCCAATTACCAAGAAACAGTCTTTACCTCCAGTTATCATGCATCCAAAATTAAGGCCCATTCCAACCATAAAAACAGCATCGCCCTTAGCCCAGTGGACACTGAATGAAAAAAATTACTGCAGATATGCCTCAAGCTCCCTCTGCCACATAATCTACAAGCATAATATCCAACAGGTCTTAGGACACTGGCTTTCAGATCTCAGAATAAAGTAAATGACAGCATCCTCACCTGTAAACAGGGGGCTGAAGGAGACTGGAGAAAAGGCACTTTGGGTTCTTGTCAACCTGGGTTTCCTAGGTAGAAAAGAAAGAAAACAGAGAATAAAGAGGAGAAATGAACATATATTCATTGAAATCGTTACAACACTCAATTCCAGATGCAACGTGAAACAAATCTGGTCAGCCATTGTCAGCAACACTCCTGTAATAAAGTCTAACATTTGGGGGAGAATAAAACCATTAAGGCAATTCTTTTAATAGATTTGGCTACAGAATCTACCAGCCTACAAAGCAATAAGAAATTCCTTTGGATCTCTTTGCACATTAAAAAAAAGTAAAACATTTTGAGTGGCAATTAGCAAGACCATCTCAAAAGGCAGGAAGTCTTTTGATGCAGAGTTGATTTTTATCCGGGAGCCAAGAAAAAGGCTCCAGACCTGAGCAGCAGCCAGTGCAGGGAGAAGTGATTCTTCTGGCCCTGCGGCGGGAGGAGGAGGTCCCAGAGTGAGCCAGAGAAGGGATTCTGACCAGGGAACAGCATACAGGATGCACAGGAAATCTTCAGTCCTGGAAGATCTCTCATTTCTGCACACATGCCCCAAGGCATCAGTAAAAGCCATTGACTGATGAATCAATTCCTGACAAATGGGCTTCCCCAACCGTGGGCTCCCTCCCACCTGTCTCTGAGCTGCCAGTCACACAGCTCTTCCCATGGGGTTCCCAGAAACCAGCCTGAAAATCCAGACCTCCTTTTGGTTACACACCAAAGGTAAATTCACCCTGCACCAATTTCAGCAGGATTGTCATTTTTCAACAAGAACTCAAAAAGGGGCCCGGCACAATAGTGTAGAGGTTAAAGGCCTTGCCTTGAATGCCCTGGAATCCCATATGGGCACCTGTTCTAATCCTGGCAGCCCCGCTTCCCATCCAGCTCCCTGCCTGTGGCCCGGGAAAGCAGTAGAGGACGGTCCAAAGCTTTGGGACCCTGCACCTGTGTGGGAGACCTGGAAGAAGCTCCTGACTTCAGATTGGCTCAGCTCCAGCTGTAGGGTCACTTGGGGAGTGAATCAGTGGACAGAAGATCTTCCTCTCTGTCTCTCCTCCTCTCTGTATAACCACCTTTCCAACAAAAACAAAAATAAATCTTTATTAAAAAAAAAAAAAGAAGAAGAACTCAAAGAAATCCCAGAACTCAAAGATTCCAGGAAAGATTTGCCAGTTAGAAACACGCTAAGCTCAAAAAAGATTCCTGGATGACCCAACTGACTACAAGAACTCACTGAGGTGATGGAAATATGCATATGATGACAGCAAACAAAATAATACTGAGCAAATGAGTCTGTCAAAATTAACAGAACTGAACACTTAACAAAGGTAAATTTTGTGGCACAAAGGTTATACTTCAATAAACCAGACACTTAAAAAAAATCCCACCCCAGAATGGATTGCATCTAGACATTACACCTATAATTATAGCACTACAGTGCCTATTCCAGGCACTGTAGCTAGCTCACCTTCCAAAAATACTCTCATCCAAAAACTACACAGAACTACCAACAGAGGGGAAAAAACAAAATGCCAAATAAAAATTTCATCTAAGCACCTCAGAATCACGCTAAACAGAATTCCAAAACCATACCAGGCATACTTCACTCAGAGAGCTGCAACATCCATCACTGCCTGCTCCTGCCCCATCTTTCAAATTCCTTCTGCAAGCACCGCCATGCAGACTCCACGAGTCTGCAGATGATGCCACTGTGAACACCACCCCTAAAGCACACTCTGGAGCCAGAGCTACACGCGCGGCCCAAACACATGACGGCCCCCTGCTTATACAAGATGCTCATGACTGTCAAATAACCCAGAAGTCTCAAACAGAATATTAACGCCACTGGACATGAATTTTTATGACCATCAATGAGCTTTCAAGCTGATTTTTATTTGATAATTTGTAGGTAAAACATTAAACTCTGCAAGTAGAAAACTAAAGCGGTGGCCTTTCAAAAGGTTCACACCTCAGCCACTTGGCTGCTTGCCCCTTTTCAAAGGAAGCTGCCTTACGCTGCCATCTGCCCATGCCGAGGACGCGTCTCAGTGCCAAGCACTGAAGAATGGCAGTACCCAAATGCACACATCTTGTGGAGACCTTCTCATTTCAGCTCATCTTCTCCCCACCTCCGGCATTCTGAAGAAAAGAATCATAGTTTCTAGAATCCAGAAAAAATTAAAAAAAAAAATCAAATCTCAACCCAGGCAGAGCCATTTTAGAGTGCCAGGATGGTTTTTCTTGGCAAACAAGAGGGCTCATAGCTGGCAGCTAAGGGAGGTAAAAGGTATAAGAGAATGAAAAGCTAATATTCAACATGTATGCTTCCTTTTCTCTTCAGGGAGCTGCTGCCTAACAAAAAACCTAAAGCAATTTCTGTCTCAAGAACCCTAAGAGCATTCCAGTATCATTTATGAAATGACCAATATAGAAGACAGAAACAAGAAGCAAAGGAACAAGCACCATAGAAGCGCACACAGCAGTTACCTGGTGGAAGGGCAAAGGATGTCATCAGGACCCCCACTCCAAACCAGGTCTAAGGTATTAACAACATTCTCTATATTTGCTAAGTTTGGTAAATACTGTGGATCCAGACAGTTTTTAGCCTTCCACACTACATTTACATATGTACCATATCACATGTAGAATATCTATATACATGCACATCTACACTACATTTCCACAGTAGATCTCTCTCCAGATCACGCTGACAAGCATTAGGGTGGCAGTCACACCACTACAACTGTCAATGGCCACATGCACCCCAGACACACTGGGGGGCCAGCATACGGTGGGGGTAGTATTTGGTGAGTGGGCGGTGTCTCGGGTGACAGAGCAGGACACGGGCAGGCTTTATGAAACGTGTTCTTTGAGGTTAGCCACCCTTTGTGCCTTCAACACCATTACATGAGCTGTAGGTAACAGAGACAGAAAGCCTATGTCCATTTCTACCCTGAAAATCACCAAATAGATTACTAAGCAGCCTTCTGAGATAAAATCAGCTAAAAAGCATTATATACGACAGAACATTCAAATATTACCACTGGCCAGTTTCAAATTCCTTGAAATCTAAAATGTAGGATAATGAAATAATGCCTTCCCCTCTCTTGTCCCTACAACCCACCTACAGATGCTTGTCTTACAGTCTTTTCTGTGATATCTTCCAAAACTAGGATGTCCAAACATCAGGTTTTGCAGCCCCAGAGTACCTCTGCCCCGCTAAAGCGCATGGTGCCAATTCAGCCAGCCTGTGCCATTTCCAACACGTCATCAGCCAGTGTCTGTTCATGTGCTACAGGCACAAAAACCATGTGTTCATCTTTAGTTCCAATACACAGACATCTGTGCAGCAAGGTCAGATCCAAGATCCCTCCTAAACCAAGTGCAGCCCAAGGAGGGGTTTCCAGGGAAGAGCCAGGGGGCATAGTCCATAACCGAGAATCTCAGATGAGTTGCTGGCAAGAGCAATGTCAAGACGTGAAAGGTACAAGACTCCAACAGACAAGTTTCTAACCGCAAGAGCTCATTCTGAAAGAGAAATGCCAGCCATAATCACGTCTCTCACACACACACAGTTAAAAAGACCATGAATGTGGACCTAAAACCCAAACACAGCATCAGAGCTTCCCCACCACACAATAAAATCATTTTGTTCTCAGCTTGTCATGCCATGACTTGAAAAGCTCCTTCAGACCTGAAGAGCTAAGGAAACAAAAACAGGTTTCCCATGTTTCCCATGCCTGTCCACAACAGCAGGGCCCCAAGCTGATGCCGAGGCAACCTGCCTCTTCTCAGAACTGTATCCTTTTGCCCAGGTAGGAAAACCACTACAAAACTATTCTCCACTTCTCTGCCTCACAGCTGTGAAGACTGTAACAGCTTCAACTTTTAACTCAGTAAAAGCAAATCTTGAAAAGTGAACAAAGGTTCCCCTTTCTAATCAAGTAAGTACCATATTGTGAGATTCAGAAAGGTCAGCTCAAATGCCACTTCTCCCTAAATTCAGGGAAGACAATCAGCGCAACAAATGGGAAGCTGAGAAGGGACCTCCCCTGGTTTCCCTGAAATAGCGAAGTTCTTTCTATATTGCACCAAGGCCCACAGGCACCAAGCCCAGCTCTCTGCATCTCAACATATGTGTTTGAAGGCCTCGCCCGTTTCCCCAGAACAGAAACCTGATTAGCTGGTGAACCTATTTCTTATTTCACTTAAAACAGAGTCCTCTAAGTTAATCTGAACCACACTTAAAACTCCAGATAACCAGGCCAAGTCCCCTTGGCAGACTCTGAAACTCATCTGAAAGGAAGCAAAGTTTTGCTTAGTGTTAAAATATGACAACTGTTTAGACTTATTATAGGAAGCACTTTCTAGTTGATAGCCATGAGAAAGGCAGACATTGAGACAGGCAAAGACAATTATGCCCACAGGTACTGTAAATGCCTCAAATTACATCACAAGTCTGCAGAGGCCCATAATTAACTGCAACCAACAATGAGGAGGAAGGCATATACCCTTTGGCAAGACTGAAGCGTCTCACTGCTTCCAGGCCCCACCAATCAAAGCCAGAGACCCAGATAAAACAACCAAACTCAACCTTCCTCCCCACAGGACACACTTCTCAGGAGGCGCTGATCCACAGACATCTCATCGACCCTGGCAAGACTCACCAAGTTTCTCACAGCTGCAAGGCTGCCAGCAAGACTGGCACATAGCAAGCTGTGGGAAAGCTAACACGCAGCACCACACTCTAGGCAGAGAAAAAATTCACTAGTGCAATCTTCCCACTTCTTTCTCGGAAAGCACAGAATATTCCATCCGCATTTCTCCTGTCTTCACTCTATGCCAATCAGAACCGTCACCACCCTCCCATCCTTCAGATGGGGGAGGCCAGAGGAGACTCCATGGCCTCCCATCTCAGGGCTCATGCTGCCTCCAAACAGTAGTCACCCAAACATTCACACACAAACACCTGGTTCTTTCCCAATTCCTCAGAAAAAAGTCCTTGGACCAAAAAAGGTAATTCTCCTGTGGCCTGAACTAAGCTTCCTCGCCGAGCTGCAGCCCTATTTGCTCAGCGGCGGAAATCTGCACTGTGCTTCAGCTGAGGCTTGGTAGCAGAGCAGCCAGTGACCATGAAATTCTGCTTTCAAAGACAAAAAAATCCTATAATGTTATATGCCTTTTCCTCTTCCCAATCTGTCAGACGTACCAGCTAATTTCACACCACACCTCATAATTGGCTTCTCGGGAATCTTACACCAAGTCCTGGTCAATATAAAACAAAGGCAAGACAAGTCACAAGAAAACCAGCCTCCGAGCCCACGTCACTACCCACGGCTCCTGCAGCACCCTCGTTCCCGCTGACGACAATCTCCTCGGTGCTGGGAAGTGGGGCAGCGAGTGCAGAGCCTACCACAGAAACGCTGCTTCAGCTCCCAGCACGAGTTCCCTGGGAGGGCACACACTGGCTTTTTCAGGAGTCTGGGCTTGGCCTGATCCTTGCGATGAGCACAGTCAGCTGCTTCCAAAGGGCAGCGAAGCCCACTCCATCTCATGCTGCCCTTACGGCACCCGTGGCAAACTTCCCTTCAAGACAGAAGTCTGTGTATGAGTGGTTCCTAGGCCAGGCCCCTCCCCCTTTTTTTGTATATGACTTAAACTCTTGGGTCCCAGACACACATAGATTTTTCAAAAAATTCCCCCAGTGATTCTAGTGCTCAGTAAGCTGTCGACTTAGAGTCTACCTGCCCGAGCCTTCATGTGTTCCATCTCAAGAATCACACATATGAGCTCAACCAAGACTAACGTGAATCCTTCCAAGAATCCATCCAGAAACACAATCCCCAAAGGCAATTGCCACAAAGAAGGTCTCACTGCACGGAACAGAGGCAGATGCTTTTCCACAAGGATAAGACAGCTCTAACCCCCCAGACCAAAGGTCTGTCCATTTTCCAGAAATCACCAAGTCTAAACGTGGGATTTCACCAGCTGCCCTGGAATATCTGTACCACCGTCCACACCCCATGCAGATCTCAGAAAGGTGCTATCGGGAAAGCAAGGTTATGTTCCAACCTCACACACAGGGCTCAGTGCACAGGCTGCCGACTCCAGGGCATCACCAGACAGACAAGGAATCTTCCCACCCTCAATGAGGGCAAGCCTACGGGTGCACAACTTCCACGGGGCACTTGTATCAGGCCCATCGGGACTGTGATCTGAGGCCCGAGGCGGGGTCCTGGGAACTCAGAACCCAGAGCAAAGGGATCCAGAGGCAACAGCAGCTTTCCCCCTCCAAAGGGCCAAACATCTTTCTCCCAGCTGTAAGGGCAGATAGGCACCCCTCAAAAACCTTCAAGCCCCAGTGAGGGGATGGGGACATCTTCAACCAGCCCCTCAACCAGAGATGCTAACCAGCTGGCAAGTGTCAAAAGTGTGAAGTCTAACAGTCAAAGCTGCTGCCACAATAAGCTCGGACCTGAAGCAGATGCTGTCACCACCCCACCACTTAAAGTCCCAGGGAGACCTCCTTCCGAGGATCGCCTGTTAACCACTGCCAAGCTCACGGGTAGCAGCAGAATAGGGGAAAAAAGGGGGGGGGGGGGAGTGGGGGTGGCAGGCAATGAAACGCGAACAGGCGGCCTGCAGGGCAGCCCCCACCCTCCACTCCCGCGGCGACCTGGCCATCTCACCTCCCCGTATCCAGCTCCCGGCCCGCGGAGCCGCCCATGTCCGTGAGGCTCGCAGCTGAAGCAGCCAGCTCTCCAGAAGGCCTCTTGCCGCTCCCGTCGCCAGCGCCCGAGCCCCCGTTGCAGCTCTTGGTGCGAAAGAGGCGACTGAGGCGGATTTTGAAGGAGCCCTTCCGAGAAGGGCCGGCGAGCGGCCGGAGGGGCCCCGGAGGAGGCGGCGGCGGCGGAGGGAGAGCTTGCTGTGGCTGCTCCCCTCGACTCAGGCGCCCCGGAGGGACCAAGTCCTGCAGCGGGAAGGGCACGGGAGGTAATTCGGCAGCCGGGGGCTGCAGCAGCAACCGGCTGCCCCCTCCTCCTCCTCCGCGGCCCGGGCTGCTGAGCTCCTCTTCCGAGCAGCTGTTCGTCTCCAAGCTCTCGGCCTCCGATTCCAAGGCCTCCAGCACCAGCAGCGCGTCGCTCGTTTCCGTAGGATCCTCCCCGGCCTGCGGGGCGGTAGCAGGCGGCTGGGGCTGCGGAGGGGCCGCCTGCGGGGGACACGGACACGGGCAGCAACCCCCGGCGACTGTCTTGACCTCCGGCGCCGCCGGCTGCCCGAGCCCAAGAGCCGCGAGCTGTGCCTCGAGTCCAGCCACCGGGCCCCAGGTCCGCTCGAGCGCCAGTCCCGGCGGCAGGCCCTTGGGGTCCAGGGCACAGCGGTGCCGGGGACACAGCAGTTCTGAGGGTCCCGGCTCCGGAGCCGCCTCCGCGTCCTCCTCCTCAGGCGGCCGCCCCACGTTGCGGAACACCATCAGCTGCGGCGGTCGCGCACCCCGCGGGCCCGGCCGCGTGAGGAAGGGTGGCGGCGGAGGGCCATGGCCCGGAGGCGGCGGCGGCGGCAGCGGCGGGCCTGGCTCGGGGGCCGCCTCTCCATAACCGAGGAGGCGGCTCAGGACGCGGTAGGAAGCGGCCGCCGCCGCCGCCGCCTCGCCATCCCGGAGCTCGGCCCCCTGCATCGGGGAGAGGGAGGGAGCCGGGCTGGGGTGGGGACTAGGCCGAGCCCCGCCGGAGCCCCGCCCGCCGCGGCCCCCGGAGCGACAGCGCGAACGGCCGCCGCGGCCTCTGCCTCATAGAGGGAGGCGGGGGGCGCGCGGAGACCAGCGCCAGCCCAGGCCGCGCGCCGCCGCCGCAGACCGCCCCCGGCGCGCGTCACTTCCGGCAGGCGTGCCACGCCCCTTCCTCGGGGCGTGCTCGCTGGGGTCTCCACGGCGCGTGACGTGACGCGCGCCTCGCGCCGCCATTGGCTGTGGCATTGGTGGTCTCCGGCCTCGACCCCCGTTTTTCACTTCCTGGGCGGTGAGGCCCAGGCTGCCGCGATGGCCGCAGCGTGTTCACAAGTCCTCGGGGGCGGGGAGAGAACCCGCAGTGGCCTCCGCCGTCCTCGGGCAGAGAGCCCCATGGCTTGGACAGCAGCAGCCACGGTTTCTGTGGCGACCACGCCGCTTAGGATGTGTGACTTTATGGCCGAGTCTGTTTCATCAGCTGTGGATTGTGGAGTGACCACATGAATACCGTGTTGTACACGCACGGGTGTGCTGATAAATGTGCCAGGGCGGATAGAAAAGGAGGTGTGTGCATGATTTCTACTTGCATAGGAACACAGACTAGTCCTCGATGGCGCTGCCACAGCAGATGGGCAGCGCACCCTGCAGCGGGCGGGCTGACAGGGTGCCCGCATTGATGCTTCCAGCCAAGGACTGGAACTGCAGCCACAGGGTGGGTCCAGTCCTCTGGGTTCACACAAGAGAGAAGTAAAGGACAACTGGATTGTCAGCTTTGCCGAATCAGAGAACAGGTTTAGAATAGGGAAGATCATTTCCCCCATTTTTGTGCTTCATAATTGAATGGCTACAGGCCTGGCATTAATTAAAGTTGAATTTTTGGGACCATCGCGAAGGTTCAATGGCTAAATCCTCACCTTGTAAATGCTGGGATTCAATGTGGACATGGGTTCATGTCCCAGCTGTTCCACTTCCTTGCTTTTAGCCTGGGAAAGCAGTAGAGGACAGTCCAAATCTCTGGGACCCTGCAGCCGTATGGGAGACTTGAAAGAAGCTCCTGGCTCCTTACTTCAAATTGGCTCAGCTCTGGCCATTGGGGCCATCTGGGGAATGAACCAGCGGATGGAAGATTTTTCTTTCTCTGTAAATCTGATCTGCCTTTCCAATAAAAAAAAATACATATTTTTGAAAACTGAATTGTTAATTTTTCTTCAGCCCTGTCTGAAGTATAAATAACCAACAATACAGGAAACCAAGGCTTGACAACTTGATTCATAGCGTTTGTCCCTGTCCTGTGATGTATATGCTCCCACCAAAGCTAGTTTCAGTATATCACCATGATTAAGAAGGCACAGTTAAGAAGAGATGAACTGTAATATACCATTAGGGAGTAGTTGGATCATGCAGGTACTATTAACGTAAATAACCTTAAGAGCATAGAAAAATTATTAAGCAATTAGTTTGGAGAAATTATATTATCGTCTTTTAAAAACTTTATTATTTTTAAAGATGTATTTATGTTTGGCCTAGAGGGGTAAGCCTAGCAGTTGAAGTCCTCACCTTGCATGTGCTGGGATTCCGTGCGGGCACTGGTCTAGTCCTGGCTGCTCCACTTCCCATCTAGCTCCCTGCATTTGGTCTGGGAAATCGACTGAAGATGGCCCAAAGCCTTGGGACACTGCACCTGCTTGGGAGACCCAGAGGAGGCTCCTGGCTTCTGGCTTTTGATCTCCCCAGCTCCAGCCGTTACAGCCACTTAGGAAGTGAATTAGTGGGCAGAAAATCTCTCTCCTTCTCTTTGTAGATCTAACTTTCCAATAAAAATAAATACATTTTTTTTTAAAAAAAAAAGACAGTTATTTTTTATTGGAAAGGCAGATCAGATTTACAGAGAGAAGGAGAGACAGAAAGATGTTCCATCTGCTGGGTTATTTCCAAGTGTTCACAACAGCTGAAGCTGAGCCAATTCAAAGCCAGGAGCCAGGAGCTTCTTCCAGGTTTCCCATGTGGCTTTGGGCCATTCTCTACTGGTTTCCTAGCCCACAGGCAGAGAGATAGATGGAAAATGGAGCAGCTGGGACATGAACCAGTGCCCATATGGGATTCTAATGTGTACAAGGCAAGAATTTAGCTACTGAGCCATCGCACCAGACCCTTTATTACCTTCTTTAAAAATATTTTACTTATTTGAAAGCAAAATTAGTGAGATCATCCATCCTCTAGTTCATTTCCCAAATGGTGGCAACAGTCCTGGCTGGACCAGGCCAGGCTAGGCGAAACCCAGGAACCAAGAGCCTCTTCTGGATCTCCCAAATGGATAGCAGGGGCCCAGGGCTTTGGGCCATCCTCCATTGCTTTCCCAGGACCACTAGCAGAAAGCTATATAGAAAGTGGAGCAGCTGGGACTCAAGCCAGTACAGGATGCCAGTACTGCAGACGACAGTTTAACTTGCTAAACCACAATACTAGTCCTTATGACTTTTGTTTTTAGTGTAATTTAATTAGAAACTGTGTAAGATTTAATAGTGACATTATTCAGCAGCTGGGCTCCAAATTTCCAGCAGGTGTAATGCTTAGCTTCCCCAAGCTGAGACGGGCCCACTCACAGCCCACTAGATCTGTTTTAGCATCTGTGAAAGAGAAGTACTGAAGCTGGGTTTGCCTGCCTTCTCTCAGGGTCAAATAAGGTGGCAGGAGGAACCTGGTTAGGAACCCTCTGCCATTTTCCCTGGAGGAGGGTCAGCTGACAGAACCCAACAACTTCAGTTTTGAACATACGCCGAGAACAAGAGGGGCGGGGTCTTCTGGGATGGGGATCTTTTCAAAATGAACATCTCCTCTCAGACTAATGCCAGCCTTTCCCTGGCCAGCAGAGTCCTGCAGGATCTGCCCTCCACCGCTCTCTTAACACATCTCCCACCAGCTTCACCTAGCCCTCTGTCCCATGCTGCCCTGCCAGCACCGGGTCAGGCCGCCTCACGTATGGGCACCAGCATAGCTATTCCACTTGCCCCTCTCTGTGCTCAACTCCTGCTCATCCCTCAGGCTGGGCTCGCTTCCTCTCCAGGGACAGCCAAACCCACTCTGGCATTGCACTCAAGGAGACATGGGTAACTGCATCTACCTGTGGGGCTATTGGATGTGAACCTGTCTAAACTGTCTAAATTTGCTAAACTCTAGGTTCTCTGAGAGAATGGCCCACAGTGGCTTCCTGTCCCTCCCTGGACCGTCCCTGGCTCACCACGCAGGTACGTGAGATGAGTGTCCGCCCATGGCAGGAGTTCCTCTGTAAGTGTAGGCAGCAGGAGTAGCATCCTACCTCACACATATAGAACCAGACTGAAGCCCAAAGAGTTATCCCCGGCAGAGGACAGTTGGTTTCAAAAAATGCAATGGAATAAAAAGTCACATGCATCTGACTCCGAAGATTTTATTCTATGCTTTCCCTTCCATGACTACTCAGGTTTCTAGAGAACAGAAATGAAATCGATCGCTGTGGGATTTCAGAACACCTCAGGCCTGAGAAACACCATCCCAGTTCCCAGCTTGCTTGATGCCTAGCCGAGTAGGTGCACGAGTACAGGCGCGATCTGTGGCTGTGCAGCGCCCTCTGCTGCCCAGCTGCTTTCTTGGCCCCAGAAGAGGCTGCCTATCGCGGCCATCTCGGGTACCTCTCTGGTCCGAAGCACTCGAAGGAGGTTAACCGGAAATACACGCAAACGCTGCGACAGAGCGAGGGATGCTGCCTCCCTCCACCTGCTTCATTCTCCAGATCTGGAGGGAAAAAAGGCACTGGCGGTTAACCGTCCTTGTGCTTGAATGATACAGGTTTTGGGGTGTTCAGCTGATTTTTTGTGTCTACACATATCTCTTTCTCTGAGGAGCACCAAAGGGGTCCCTACAGATCCCAAGGTAAAAGGACTTAAGAAGAAAAAAGAAAAAAACTTCTAAGGAAAAAAAAAAAAAAGCTATATTTTCACCCCGTTTAACTGACCGTCCACCACTGGTAACCAGGGCATGATCTGCAGCATCAGAGAGGCCATGCCCAGAGCTGTGGGTGGGCATGGCAGCGTTCTGTTCCAAAGGTGTGCCATAACTGGCTGGGTGACCTTGGGAGTGTTCCTCTCCTTTTGGGGGTTCAGTGTCCTTATCTGATGTCAGGGGGATTGTCCAACAGATCTCTCCTCCCACCCCTGTCGCCTTCCCATCCTGCTTTGTTCCTGAGGCTGACTAGCTGCTTCCAGGGGCCACTACGGAGCAAAGGGAGTTTGTAGCAGAACCCCACAACTTCAGTGCTCCCAGACACCAGAGGGCAGACTCCACGAGGCAGAGGCGGGGCAGGCCTGTGGGGATGTGAACCCTGCAGCCAGGAAAGATGGGGTGAGGGAGAGAGAGATCAAGTGATGGGAGAAGGAGAGCAGGGGGCAGGATCGTCCTTCTGTGGCACCCCTGAGAATCCATTCCCTTGCAGATCCAGTCAGCCAGGGGAATGCTGAGTCCCAGGTCCCAGGCTACTGTGTCTAGCAGTGGGAAGATTATAAGGTGCAGGGAAATGAGGAAGAGCAAGACTTGGCATGATTTTTTTTTCCCAGAAGGAGGGAGAAGGCAAGGCTTACCCTGCAGCAGTGAAAGTGAAAAAAGTAAGGGGCAAAACTTTCATTGTCTATTCTCACCTCCCTGTGGCACCCCACCCTACCTTGGCTGCCCTGCTTGGGTCGCGAGGTGGAGACCCGGGTGAGGCAAACAGCAGGGTGGTCCTAGGGAAGTGTCCTCATCTCTCCTTGCTGTGACTACTCCTCTGAGATGCAGCCGTACCCCAGTCCCTGGGGTTGATCTGCCAGCTACATGGTGGGGTATGGTTGGGCAGCACACTTGGCATCTTTCCAGCATGACAGTACATCACCCAAGAACACTCACTAACTGGAAGAGAAAGGGCTTAACACACAGGTTGGGAGGTTCCCGGTCCAAAATTGTATGCGCCTGTCTGCTTGGGGTGTGCAGGGGTGCCTGGAGTACTTACAGGAAAGAAGCACATGGTCCTCCAGGAAGCAGAGGGGATGGCTGGGCCTGACTTCGACTTTTATAACCAATATTTTTC